CCAAAGCTGGGAAACTCGAGATGCCTGGCTTAACAGCTTCAGGGTTGGTGGGAGAATTGCCGCCATCGCGTTCGGCACGAGATCCCTTGAGCATCTCTGACATGGCATCTTGAAGTTGATGCATCCCAGCAATCAGTATCTCACGATCTGTGGGTCCTGATGCACTCGCGGCTCCTGCTGGCAGTGTGCCTCTGGGTTCTGCTTGTGGCCTCTGCGGTGCAGGGCTGGAAGACCGCGCACCGGAACCAAGGAGCCCTGAGAACAAACCAGCGAAGCCCTGAGGCTCGGGAGCGGAAGGAGGCGGAGGAGGAGGCGGTGAGGATGAAGAAGGGGCAAATCCAACCCCAGTGTTGGCGACAGGATGCGAACCGAACCCACTATCACCAAACCCACTAAAGCCAACCTCCCTAGTACCCACCTGCTGCAACGCCGTAGCCTCAACTTCACCAGCCTGCTGAGACCGAATCCTCGAGAGTTCGGCCTCAGCACGACCAGCTCTCTCTTGCTCAGCTCGCAGTTGCTGCTTCAACCCATCAAGCTGTCGCGCGACTTCTGCCTGAATCGCATCATGCGGAATAGATGAGGACTCGGTGTGCGGAGGCCTGTCCGGAGACCCGGACCCGTAGAGCAAGGGAGCTCTTTGCTCCATGGCAGCAAGCTGCTGCGCGTTGGCACCAGTGAACAACGGCATCGGCACTTGACACTCATCTTGCAGGACGCGGCCTCCTCTCTCGAGGGGCTGTAGTGGTCGCGACGGCCTTGGAGGAGAAGTCAGTGGACTGGGAGCCCACCCTTGCGGCAGTGGCTGTACGTTCGCCGCGCCACCAAACAGAGACTGCACTCTTCCTAGCAACTGACTAGCAAAAGCCTGAGCCCCAGTCTGCATGACCGCTGACGCCCCGTACGCCGTTGATCTGGGCGTTTCAAAGCCCTCAGCACTACTTCCAGGATTCGCTGCAGATGGGTTGTACCCTGAGACGCCTGCGGCAACATTGATCTGAGCGCTAGCCATTCCACTTTCGGTGGCCACACTGAAACCCTGAGTCACTGCAGTTGCATCTCCATGTACCCCACTCGCATCAGCGACCTCCGTGGTAGATACTGCTTCATACGTAACGCCAGCTGTGCCCAAGCCTCCAACCTGGCCTAGTGTTCCATCGCCTCCTGTCCTACCGACTGCTGAAACTCTCGGTTGGCCGGCTGTTCCAACAGTTTCTTGTGGCAGCTGAGGGGATGGCACTGGACCAGCTGTGGAAGTCGATGGCCCCGACGACGCATCCATCATAGTTTGCTGGGTTCCATCCCCAATAGGCTGCGCAAGCCCAGAGGGCGATGGCACTCCAACTCCGGCGGTTGTACCATTCACTGTAGTCTGCGGTGCATCCCCGCCTCCCCACACTCCAGGCAGAGAGGCCGGAGAAGCCACCGCTCCGGTTGCTTCTGGCCCAGGCGTTGGGCTCATCACCTGTTGAAGGTGTTCACCCTGGGTGGCCATACCCTGCAGCGAAGCTCACGCAGAATGTTTTCTATGGCTGGGCGCAGAGGCGACTCACGATCTCAACGAAGCAACAAGAGAACCGACAAACCAACAAACGACCTGTACAGCTTTACAAGTTGTTGGTTACAGTACACATGGCTCAAGAGGCTTTCCTACGCAGCCTTCCCCTAAGCCAAAGGATACAGGAAACACACATGTACAAGCCTACCTGAAGGAAACTATACAAGTGCCGGCAATCCCTTCAAGCAGACTACACACCTGTCTAACCTGATACCTGGGCATGCAGTGAGAAGCATTTCAACAGATTGCGTTTAGGGTTTAGGGCTTAAACTGCAGAGGTTAAGGTTTAGGGCTGGGAGTTTAAGGGTTAAGGTCGAGGGTATACCTAGACCCCCCAACTACCCTCTACCATACCCCAAATACCCACTATTAAGGGCCATAAGGGGGTGTCCTCGTAGGGTTTAGGGTCTAGCAGTTAGGGTTCGGAAGTTTACCTTAAGGTTCATCGTAGTGCAAAAGCCTCATATAGTATGGTCTTTAGACCCCAAAGCCTTAAAATATGAGCCCTTGGAGCCTTGGGGTTACTTGGAGGGTCATGGGACTCAGTAAGTAAGGTTATAAGTACCTTAAGTGGGGTTATAAGTAGTTATAAGTACCTTAATTGGGGCTATAAGTAGTTATAAGTCTAGTTACCCGAATTATAACCCTAGTTACTAAGTCCCATGATGCTTTATGTAGGGCTTCTTGATGAGTCGGAAGGAACCCCTCGGTCTGAGCGAGGTCCCACAGAGCTCCTCCATCGCGGACCTCATGCGCCCCAAGATGCGAGTTTCCGAAAATTAGGGGTACCTTATTCTGGGGGTCCTCATAGTAAGGATCCTATACTATTTAGAGTATATACTATACTAGGGTCCCCTATTTTCGGAAACTCCCCAAAATGGGCCTTGTCACCCCAAGGCTCCTGGACCCTCGTAGTGAGATCCCAAACCTTAGCCCCCAAAGCCCGAACCTCTGGGGGAGGCCATGACCCCTGTTGGAGCCTTAGGGCAAGGAATCGTGTTTAAGCTACCATCATAGGGATCTGTGGTAAGTAATATATTATGGCTTCTTTCATCATGGTAACGTAAACTGAGTGGCTTAACAAGAACCCAGCAAAAGCTAGGGGCTGAGTGGGCATCATTCAACCTTTTGGGGCTTATACAATCGTCATTTAGTAAGGTTAACCTTTTTGGGCCAGGATACGCAGCCCCTCAGGAAGCTATTGAGTCCTCAACTCTAATCCTAGCCCACCTGATTCGGCCTGCACAGAATCTACCCTTAATCCTCAAACCCTTCCTGATACTTCAGTAAGAGTAAATTCCCTCATAGTTCTTACCCTAAACCCTAGTCCCTTGTATGGTTCGTGGCAAATTTACCCCCACGCCCAAATCCAATGATTGAGGCTGCGAAGCCCTAGGCTTCCGAAATCCTTAAATCCCGCATCAAAAACCTTAAGGCAACCTTCAACCCCTTAAAGAGCAAAAAACTTTCTACGAACAGGCCCCGATGTATGTATAAACCTGTTGAAGCTGTTCGCAACCCTCTTCCAAGAGCCCTGAAGGTTTCCTGTCAGCGAATCTAATCAAAACGGCGCTTGCCTGACATATTGAACCCCTGAAGGCCACGAGCCCTAATCCCCAAAATCCCGCAACCCAAAGCCCCGAATTTGAAGCCCCATGCAAAAAGTACGCTTCACGTTAGCCCTGAACCTTTAAACCCCAAACCCCCAAAGCCCACATTACTGTCTTGAAGCCTCGGCCCTTGAGGAGGCATCGACACGTAGGCTGGGAGACCCAGGAGGGAGCAGCGTGTGGGGGTTTAGGGTTCCTGTAGGGATCCTATATTTTGAGGTTTAGGGTTCCTAAAGGCCTGAGGGGTTTCGATACCAAGGACTCTATAAAAGGGTGTAAGGTTCCTTCAGGGTTACCACACGGTTTCGAGAAGGGATTTAGGGCTCATCTAGGGGTCTAGGATTAAGGGTTCTTAAGAGTTTAGGGTTTTGGGTTCTTTGCGGGGTAGTATAGGTTTTCGATAGGGGACCACTTTGCTACATGATGGGGTGTTAGGGTTAAGAGTCCAGGGGTTTTCGGGGTTTAAGGTTTGGGTGTGGAGTGTAGTGGGGCTCTGGGTTTAGGGTGTTAAATTTTGAGTACAACTCTGCTTCATGTGTTTAGTTTTTGCATGTAATACTCAGGTTTCTTTCTTAGAGTCATGCCTTTGTACGGGAATATACATGCAGACAGACATGTGAGTGACATATAGACTACAGATGCGTAAGTGTACACACACACACATGCAGTATATGGCTACAAACATACAAATAGAACAAGCAAGTTTTTTGAGGTACGTACACACATGCATACATGCTACCCCTATACGTGCATATAAACCCTTCATGTCTAGGTACGCATCGACGCATCGAAAATGGCGATGACAGGGGTTTTGCAGTGTTTGGTTCAGGGTGTCAGTGGGTCGTGCTTTCTTCGATCAGCCAGAACTCGGACAGCCCGTAGGATGGAATATGCCTGAGTTGAAGGGCTGAAAAAGCTTCTTGTCGTCATCTGAGGAATAGCCTTCAAAACACATCCACCGGCACGTCGACAGCATGGAGTATTGCGGGTCTGAAGATACACGCGAGCTGGTCGACACCCCAAACCCCCGAGGCTCTGAAAAACCGATATGACAGTTTTAAACACCCTATGCCATGTGCACTGCCTGAAGCTCTCCGGGACACGGCATGGTCGGTGGCGACGGATGCCACGTACAGGGTGCAACGAATGGCATATGCAGTGTTTCCGCTGTCATCCATCGCAAAGTGGCAGGCAGCTGGCGACGAACCCCGTGGCCGCTTGTCTGGCGAGATCTACAGGGAACTTTTCACGCTCTTCAAGGCCGAACTGCTGGTGCCGTGGCCGGCCGACAAATCTTGGTGACTTGGCGTGGATCGGCGAGGTATGCCCAGAGACTCCAATACCCCTTAATTAAGGAATACTCCTTAAATCATATTAGGGCTCCTATTATATTTTAATAGGTATATTCCTTAATTAAGGGGTTTTGGAGTCTCTGGGTGCCTGGCCCGGAGCAGCTCCGTTCCGATTGGCTCTCAGGATTGAGCCGATTTTGGCATGGTTTCTTCCCGATAGCGCAGGGCATAGAGCAAGAAATGTCTGAGGACGATGCGCAAAAGCCGTCGGCAAGGAACGTCGCAAGCACCTGGCATCCCTCCATCAAAGCCCCAGCAGCTATGAGCCGTGAGCCCCAAACCGGGCACCGATTTGTGATAGTTTTAAGACTTCCTCCTCGTTCATATTTTATTATGGACCGCGAATTATAAATAGTTTTTGTTATAGGGACCGTTAGGATTACTGGCATTAAGGCCCCCTACCAGCCTCTCCCCCTAACCCCCTAAAAGTCCCTATGATTTTGGGACGATTGACATCGAAGCCGAGCAAAGCTTGGAAAGGTCTTCGCGAGCTGGGTCCAAAGAATCTGCGCAGGATGGTGAGGAGCTGTGCTTGAAAGGGTTCCTTTTGAAGGGTGTCTGTAAGGAGTACTACAAGGTGTATTATGGGGGTTTAGTATAGGGCCCTTCATAATTACCTATACAATTTGGGGGGGGGGGTCCTGTCGTAATTGTAGTATAATGGGCCCCAAAACCTTATGCTAAAGGCTGTATTAGGGTCTTGTAGGCATCTGGGCTGACCCGGGTTCTTGGTGGGGCTAGCCATATCCCTAAAGCCCCCAATCCCGTAATCCCTGGGCCGTAACCATTAAGCATCAAGCCCTAAGTCCGAAACTCCAACTCCAAACTCCGCAACCCCAAACTTACTAAACAACCCTAAACAGCCTGAAAACCCTACATCCTGAAAGCGAGCTTGAATCTGGAGCTGCACAATACTACCCCCTGAAAGCGGCTCATCAGCTCAGCTCTGTATGTACCGAGCAGGACTTCGAGTTCGAAGCCAGCGAACTTGCTAGCATAATCCATGCCTCTGGGGCAGCACCAGGTTCAGGGTTTCCAAGGTATAGAAGTTGTTGATTGGGGCTTTAGGGTTTGAGCGCTCTTGGGGGCGTCAGTTGTCTTTGCTTGAGGCTTGTAAGCATTTAGGTCGGAAGGCAAAACTTGCGATGCCTGTTGCGGGGGGGCATCAGGCTTTTGTTGACGGTATATGGCATTCGGTTTGGGGTTTAATTTGGATTTTAGGTGCCCTGTCACGGTTTGCTGCAGGGTTTGTTTAGGGTTTTGGTAAAAAAAGAAAGTTAGCGCTTCTCAACAGGTTCAAGCAGGATTCTATGCGATTTCGTTGTTGAGGTTGTAGTCACGGGAGTAGCCTTCTTCGTACCAAAGATACTACAAGCCCCTAATCCCGAAACCTTAAACCGCTCATTAAATCCTAAGTCCAAGCAAACCCCAAGCCCACAATACCTCCTAATTAGCTGACAAGCCCAGTTGCCAGAATCAACTCCCTATCGAACCCGAAACAAAGCCCGAGAAGTTGTGAGGTCTGTCGCGATTTCCATGGGCTGTCTACAGCACCAACGAGAGACGCACAGCTACGACTACGAAGAGTATAGGGTCTGGGGTTTCTCAGAGGGTTCTGTCAGAACGTTTGGAATTTTGGGGACTTGAAACCTGAGTTTCCGAAAATAGTTGTTCATCTTCCCAGTCCCTCGCCTCTCTGGCTCTCTGTCACTCAACCTTACAGTCTCTTACCCTGACGCTGCAACAGGGTTCATTGCATTTCTTGGGGAGGGTTTGGGGTTTGCGGGCCTAATGTTTGGGATCTCACTACGAGGGTCCAGGAGCCTTGGGGTATACAATTAGCCCATAGTCTGGCCTATAAACCCACCTACTCTAGTCAGGAAGACACTGTGTCTAAGATTGTGTATAGTTGTCCAGACCTTGGTAGGTTTAGGGTTTAGGCTTTATGATCTTCACGAGCGCAAGGACCTCGTGGTCAAATTAAAAATTCTACAACGTCCCCGGTTTAAGGGTCTATAGGAAGGATCCTGCCTCTGCGTATCCATCTCCGGATCTCGTTTTTCACCTGCATCTCCCCTGAGCCCAAAACCTGATCCCCAAGCCCTAGACTAAACCCTAAGACTCTCCCTCACTTGGTGCATGCATGGTACATGAGAGCGATACAAATTACCTTCGCACCAAACCCAAACTGACGGTTAGGATCCCTAAGGGTCCATGTACCCAAATAGTATATACATTGGCCTTAATGTAGTCCCTATATAGGTACATTGAGCCCAAAGTATATACTATTTGGGCACATGGACCCTTAGGGATTGTGGGTTGAGGATTGCGGTTTAGGGTTTCAGGGCTCGCGGGCCCCGTGTATTCCCGCTGTTCTCATGCCGTATGTTACCCCATGGCCCTATTCTAAGTGTGAACCCTAAACTGCCCTGAACCTAAACCCTATTCTAAGTGCGAAGCGACTGCAGAACAAAGCCTGTACAGCCCGGGGAGCCGAGCAAATATACATTCATATATATGTACACACACATATATGTGTATATATATATATATATATATGTATACACATATATTATATTTATACATACATAGATACATACATACGTACATACATACATACATACATACATACATGTGTATATATATATACACACATACATATATATATATATATATATATATATACTCACATATATACGTTTTTATATATATATATATATATATACACATATACGTTTATATATATATATATATATGGATACCGAAGAGCAAAAATCAATATTTAAGGGTTTTGGAGGTCTAGTGTTTAGGGTTCTTACTCTGAGTATTGACGTCCCTATATTCATACCCAGCCCGTTCTAATCTGTGGTGCCCCACGTGCCTATCTAGTATGCAGATGGCCCTCAACAAGGGGGTCCTAGAGTCCCATGAGCTACAAGCACTCTATTTAAGGCCGAAGTAAGTTCGTGTACAGGTACGTGCATGGAGCCTCAGGGCTAGAAAGCGGCTTCCGACAATCCAACATGTAAGAGCAACTCTAAACCCTAAACTCCCTAAATCTTAAACCCTAAACTCTCCAAACCCTAAACCCTAAACTCCCTAAACCTTAACTCTCTAAAGCCAAATCTTTAAAAGCCGACTGTCTGAATTCCTGCATTCTCCCCGAGGGAACTGGGCCAGAAGCTCGGCACTCAGGGCGCGGTACAAGTCGCCGCATCCTTCCGACCGCGGACTTTCGTGTAATGTATAGCGGCCTTCATAGCTAGAAGGTCGCGGGCGCATAGGGCGCCACGTCAAATCATGCGTGTTTACTGATTTTCTTGGCAACATCCTTTCGAGTGACTCCGTTTTAGCATGCCGGGGGGATGAGGGGCGGGTGGGGGTGTGGGGTGACGTACGTTTTCAGAGCACATCCTTAGCGGTGGTTTACAGTACTTTCGTGATGTTGCAGTCCAGTACCAACGATGACGATGATGGTGACGATGATGATGACGATGATGGGTTTAGTCGCTCGTGCTCCACTGGCCGCCCCAGCGAATAAGTGCGAGATCGTTGGCTTAAAGGCTGCCTGGAACACGTGCTTCAAATTGTGCTCTAGAACCACTGTAAAACGCACAAAATGCCCATCACAAGTGACCCCTCTCGAGGATCGCGCTCTTCCTTCTAACACGCCCCCCGAGTAATGACACCACAGTTTCGCGCAAAACGAAACACTCACATGCAAACTGTTCGGAGTCACCCGCAAGGATGTTACCTTTTTGATGCTGCTGATGATATTGCTAGTCGTAAACATACAGTAGTTTCCGTAACGTGCTACAAACCTGTTTTTGCAGAAGTCGCGCTAACACCGCAGCCTTGCTAAGTACGAAAGTAACGTGGCGCCTGGCGCACCCGTACCCGACTAGAAAAGGGATTGGGGGTACATTATATTATAATTCCCTAAGGGTCCAAGTAGTTCCTATTTATGGTTTTGGTACCTAAAAAGGCCCCAAAGTCCTATAATAGGGAGTAATGTGGCGGTCGGTTTAGTACTAGGGTACCCCCCCCCCCCCCCCCCCCCGACCAAAAAGTTGCGGTCGGTTTAGTGCGGAACCGGTAGCCCCGGACAGGGGTCAGGGGTCTGAGTGGCAGGGAATTGGCAGGTGCCGGGGTTTGGGGGCTGGTTTGGGTGCAGGGTCTGCGGTTCTGCGCGACTGCGCCGTCGGGGGTCGGGGGGGTCTGGGCCAGCGCCTGAAACCCTAAACCCTGAACCCTAAACCCTAACGAATCCTAAACTCCTAAACCCTATAACAAACCCTAAACCCTAAGCCCTAAACCCTTCCAAAGGGGGGTCGGTCCAGATTCGACCCAAAACTTAATTTTTTATGCAAACTTTAGTACTGGAGAGGCCTCTTTTGAGCTAGGGTCCAATCCCCCCCCAATAATCAAGGTATACTAGAATAGTACAGTAGTAGTACAGTAGTAGTATAATAATAGTGCAGTAGTACAATAGTAATACAACAGTAGTACAGTGGTAGTACAATAGTAGTACAGTAGTAGTACAATAATAGTACAGTAGTACAATAGTAGCACAATAGTAGTACAGTAGTAGTACAGTAGTAGTACGATTATAGTACCGTAGTACAATAATAGTACAGTAGTAGTACAGTAGTACAGTGGTAGTACAATAGTAGTACAGTAGTAGTACGATAATAGTACAGTAGTGGTACAATAGTAGTACAGTAGTAGTACAGTAGTAGTACAATAGTAGTACAGTAGTACACTAGTAGTACAGTAGTAGTACCACAGTAGTACAGTAGTAATACAGTAATAGTACAGAAATAGTACCAATAAGCAAAGCATAAAGCCAGTGAGCACATTCCCCCAATAAGCAAAGCATAAAGCCAGCGCCTGAAACCCTAAACCCTGAACCCTAAACCTTAACAAACCCTAAACCCTAACGAATCCTAAACTCCTAAACCCTATAACAAGCCCTAAACCCTAAGCCCTAAACCCTTCCAAAGGGGGGTCGGTCCAGATTGGACCCAAAATTGAATTTTTTATACAAACTTTAGTACTGGAGAGGCCTCTTTTGAGCTAGGGTCCAATCCCCGATTCGGCGGTTCACCCTAGCAGCCCCCCAATAAGCAAGGCATACAGTAGCAGTACAATAGTACAATAGTAGTACAGTAGTAGTACAGACTCCCATTCCTGACGCCCCAATAAGCGAAACAATTCTGCAAGAGATTTTGGGGCTTCAGGGCCAGGGTTTTAGGGTTGGGTGGGGGTTTGGGTGGGGGTTTAGATCGTGGCTGCCTTAAGATTGACCATCAGCAAATAGCACAGCCCCGCCACCAAAAAATCACCCCAGCCAAAAAAAAACGCATTAATTAGACCACCCCCAATTTGGGGCGACCGGTCGGAATTAGCCCCGGAAAAAACGCATTAAAAACAGCATTACTTGGATCCTCTGGGATTGTATTAAGGAGCCCCTCTAAGTATTGAAGGCTCCTACAGTACCTTGCCCGCAAAATCTAGGGGTCCATGTACATATATAGCTTGGGCCCTAAAGCACCTGTAAAGAGGGACTAGATGAAGGCAAATGGCCAACATTTCTGGTTTCTTCCAGAACCTCCCGATGGCTCTTTAATGGAGCCCTTATGGTCCTGTATAGTGGGTATTTAGGGTATATTGGAGGATAGTTTGGGGGTCTGACTTGCTAAACAGTTTAGTTTAAGTTGCCGTAAAAGGGATCTATAGTAAGTAATATGTTTTATGTATTTTGATAAACTGAGTTCCGTAACAAGAACCCGGCTTACCCTGAACTGCCAAATGCCCTCAGAGTCTTGCATTGAATTAAAAGACCACAGAGACAATCAAAGCATCGTAAGTATTAGTCATGAACACTTCGGAATCGAGAATTTTGGTCGAAATTGTCGAGTGCCCGATTTTCCAACGGGGAGGATCACCCCAAGAGTCGGCCGAAACATTTCCAGACAAGAAGGTGCTGGCGATTCTAACTTCAAACCGACCGCAAAACTTGAACCCGCCTGAGATATGAGAACGAAGTCCGGAACGCCTAACCCTCAAGCCCTGACGACAATGCTCTGAGAGCTTACGCTCCCAAACTTACACAAACCCTCAAAGACTCAACTACCGAATGCCTGAATTATCTACTACAGCTGCTACCTCTGCTGCTGCTACTACTTCTGCTCCTCCTCCTCCTGCTCCTCCTCCTCCTCCTAAGGTTCTCGATCGTGCTGCCTTCTGCCGGCTTTGCTGCGCCTTCGACGGCTTCCGTTCCTTGGGCCGGCCGCGGCTGCAACGCTCGGTGCATGGGCGAAAGAGTCATGGGACGAAGTCGATGGTGTCTTGATAGAGCTTCAGGGTTCCTTCTGGGTTTTGGGTTTGGGTTTGTCAGTGCTCGGCGGGTTAATTACAGGTCTCTGATTCGGGATTTAGGTTTAGGGCTTGAGCGCTCTTAGTAGGGGCGGGGCAAGTAGCGCACTGCAAGCTTTGTTTTTGACGCACTGACCGAGTTGCGCGATCCTCCAATATCAACATCCTTTGTACATGACATTCTTTGAAGGTTTGAAAAGCAATATCGTACTCTAATTAATAGGAGCCTTATTATAAGGACCCCCAAATAAGGTAGCCCTAATTTTCAGAAACTCCCATGTATTAAGCTCCTCAACAAGATCTTGGTGATGTGGTGTTCGTTCTAATTTTCCATAGTCGACGAGGCAGCCTTGTCCTTTTTCATGGTTCCCCCAAAAGAATAAACAGACCGGCTAGTAGACCTTCTTAAATACTTCCGGATGTAGGTATAGGGCTCTGTCTATTATTTCGAAAAGGACAAGGGTGCTACGAGGAGCTATGCTTCGGGGTTTAAAACAGAGGTCAGAATATGTGGGAGTTTCCGATAACTAGGGGTACCTTGTTGTGAGATCCTTGTAATGAGAATCCTACTATTTAGGGTATTATATTTGGGTTCCCGATTTTCGGAAACTGCCATTTAGCGATAACATCCCCTATAGTCCATTTGCATACGTGTGTGTATACTGTACATACATATGCTATGAACATACCTCAGAACCGCAACCTCCATACATCCGATTTATCAAGGCCCCCGTGCTGAGTAGACCCTTCGAGCCGTAAGCCCTAAACCCAAGACCCTATACCCCTAAACCCCTAGTCTAAGCCCAACACCCAACACCCCTAAAGCCAAAACACCAAGCCCTAAGGAACTCAAACCCTAAACCCTACAAGCCCACAACCCAAGACTCTATACCCCAAGCCCTACCTAGTAGCAGAGTAGGTAACCTTTAACCTTTTTTGGGGTAGTATAGTCCCTATATGATCCCTATATAACCAAAAAGTTTAACCTTGAGTTCCCCATGATACCTGACAAGTAGCCTGAAAACCGTAAGAATCTAAACCCTAAGAATCACTCCAAACCCGAAAACCAAGACCCTCTACCCCAAAACCCAACACCCCTAAACCCAAGACCCCTAAACCCTCAACCTGAAACCCTAAACCCCAAACTCAAACCCTAAACCCTATACCCCCAAACCCTAAAACAGCTCGAACCCGAACTGACTGGGCCCAGGTGGCGCTCTTCGATCGCCAAGCCACTCGAGTGACGGACCCTTGGCCGGTTTAGGGTTTTAGGGTTTTAAGGGTTTAGGGGTTTGGGGTTTATAGGGGATTAGGGTCTGGTGGTTTAGGGTTTAGGGGTTTAGGGTTTACGGGTTTAGCAATTAGGGGTTTAGGGGTTTAGGGGTTTGGGGTTTAGGGTTCAGTATACTATGGAGGGCCCTGTAAAAATTCCCTATACTATTTGGTGGGGGATTCCCAATAGTATACTGGGCCTCAAATGCTCAGTATACTATGAGGGCCTTAATAATTACCTATACTATGTTTTTTTGGGTCCTTATCTATTTCGGGGGTTCCTTATCTATGTCGGGGGTTCCTTATTATAGATATAGTATAATGGGCCTCAAGAACCGTGTTCTAGTTACTAACGCCCCGGTATCGCATGGGTTAAGGGTTTTGGGTTTGGGGCTTTGGCAGTTGTGGTTTGGGATTTCGGGTTTGCGGCTCAGTATCTTGGATTGGTGTCCCAAAGGGCCCAAAGCACCTGTATGGTGAAAGTAGGGTTTCTATATTATGAAGTACTGTTTTGATTTGGGTACGTATCCCCATAACAGTACCTAGGACCCTTTGGGAGTGCAGGGTTTGTTCGGATTTGTTGCACTTCCAAGGTCTTGAGGGCCTTTCGGGTTTGAGGGTTTAGGGGTTTAGGGTTTAGGGTTGGTGTTTTTGGCTTAGGTTCTTGTTGCACATGCCCTCCTAAACCCTAAAACCCTAAAAGCCTAAACCCTAAGCCCTGTAGGTAGGTTGCTGGTTGGCTCCCTCGGCCTCAGATCCCAAACCTACTGAGATCAAGAACTCCAAGTTTTCTACTCTGCCCGTTTCGGTTGAGGGTTTAGGGTTCATGAGAGTTTTAACAAATTGCGCCCTTCATGTAGAGCCGTAAATACTAGGATTGTTAACACCTCTACCTCTAGAAGAAGTCCTCTATTGTTGGGCAACCTCCTCCACTAGTCACGCTGGATTTAGGGTGTGGGCTTCGGGCTTCGGCTTTATGCACAGGATCATAGGACTTAGTCAGTACGGTTATAAATACTTTAATTGAGTTTATCAGTGATTGCAAGTATTACCTCGTTTATCACCCTAGCTACTAAGACCCATGATCCAGTAAACCCTGCGAGGTCCCCCCAAACTTCAGACCCATATCCTCTGCAGCAGAGTTCTTCCCAGTAGATAAGGTTTGGGGTTTGTAGAGGCGCTACATGCCATCGTAATATACCCCGAAACCCTAGTCTAGTCATGCAGGCGCCTAAACCGTCAAATAGTTAGTACAGAGCAAGCAACCGTCGTGCCCGGAACCCCCAAGTCCACTGGCTGCTGAATGGTGATATACCTTTCCTTTCAGCTTTAGCTTTACCGCCGGTTTTGCAAATCCCTACGGTTACATGCTTCCACATATTATATACTTGGGCCCTAACTTGTCTGGATGAAAGCTGAATTGAATCCCGGGTGTAAACTGTATGACTACACGTTCCTCTTAGTACGACCACGACAGCTAAACCCTTAACCCCAAAAAATTTAAACCCTAACACACCCCAACCTTTGCAGAGCAGAAGGTGCAGAGAAGCAACGGCACCAGCATTGACGTGATGGGTGTGCGGTTGGCCAAGGAGCACGGCTGCTCGAAGTACTGAGAACCTGAGCCCCTGGGTTTAGGGTTTCGCGTTTAGGGCTAGGGCTTAGGGACCAAAATATGGAATACAGTAATCAGCATTGCAGGCCCCGACATTATCGAACTCTGCAAGCTGCAAATGGTTTCGGCTAGTTCCCTAGTGCGGCATGTTGAAATCCGGGCCAAAGGGAAGGAGCTTTTAGGGTTTAGGAGTTTAGTCAGCATCCGAGCCTCAAGCCCTCTCCTTGAGACCCCCAAACCTACCTCTCAAACCACAAACTCCTAAACCCGAAGCAATAATTTAGCTTTATCCTTAAAGCAAGCCTTTGACACAGCCCTAAACCGTAAACCCACACCCCGAACCCTAAACCCCAACTCCTACAAAACCCTTTTCAACATCACCGCAGGACAGCAGAAAGGCGGTCGAGGCAGGATCGGAACGTGCGGTTGATGATATAAATCCTCCATGACCCATAATAAGGAATATACCATAAATCCCATAGTTTAGGGTCCTTAAGGTCCTGCAGGATTTATATCATCAACCGGTGTCACCATGGTGTGCGGCTTTTGTGTCTGGGGTTTAGGGTTTAGGGGATTGCGTGAAGGTGGCTGTAAGTTGAAGGTTAGAACCATGTAGCAGCTTGTTAGCAACGTACTGGCAAGCAGACAGCTTTAGTCAGTACTGGCCTTCACTGCACAAATCATGGCAACGTTGCTGGCGTCCTGCGATCACTAAGCGGACGAGTGTTAATATCCGCAGTAACAAGGAGAAACATGAGGATCATGTTTACCATGATCTTTGCGTTTTGACAGCTGTGATATGCTCATTATGCAGCTGCCTCATTTACAGTGTCCATTCTGACATGGGCTTGAGTCCGGTCCAATACTCCCTGAATCCTTCAACCATGCAAGAAAAGGAAGGGAAGAGATAATGATAATTACATGGGCCTGGGTAGATTAACGCTGGGTTCAAAAGTAGCAAGCATTTGGTTGCCTGAAGAACAATTCCTATGTATTGTGCCCTGAGCCTGCGAGTAGTTCAACTGCTCCTTACCAAGAGGGTCTAGTCCAGTGTTGAAATTGGCGTCAGCTGCAGGCCAAGCACCAGATCAGGCCGCCACCCGAGCCGGCGACAGATGAGGACCTCTACGACTTCGTGTCTCTGCCACTGCACGACATGTCTGACACGTGGGACGTTGCAATGGCTAACGCCCGCGCCGATCCTTTCCGCGTGCCCTGCGTCCAAGAGGCAAAAGCGGCAGGCCTAGTGCTGCCGTTGCGTGTGCCAGTCGCGAGCGAAATCGACCAGTTTGTACAAGGTTTGGCGACTTTCATGCCGCAAAGCCCGCCTTCGATCCTGCACAATGCGGCCACGATCCTCCTGGCAGCTGAGTGCTCCGCCGATATATATATATATATATATATATATATATAGATAGATAGATATAGCGAGAGAGAAAGAGAGAGTTACATCCATTTGTCGTTGCCGCAAGTGGATGTATGTATGCATACATACATACGTATGTACATACATAAATCTGACATACAAACAGATAAATACATCAATATACATATATATATATATACCCGTCTTTACACAAACGAAGAAATTTTAACAAGTGTGTACATATACATATATATATATGCATACATGCATGGGTTGAGGGGAGGGATGGATATATGTATGCATGTAAATTGCCAGCTTGCTTGATTTTTTGGTTGATTGGTTGACTGATTGATTGGTTGATTGATTGCACACGCGAACGCCCCGCCTGCCCCCACTCCACATAACTACAACCACAAGCCCTGGATAAACCTGCATGCGCCCTAAACCCCAAACCCCTAGACCCCTAAACTCTGAACCCCTAAACTCCAAACCACAAAACCGTAAACTCTAATGTGCAAACCCTTTTCCCTTATAAGCCCTAGACCCTAAACCGTGCGTCTTGAAGGCTGATGCGCCCATAGCTTTGCTCTTCAAGTCGCTGGTCCAGGACATGTGCCCCGGTCTGCATCGCAAAAACTGTCGGGATTTTTACCCTAAGGCTGTAAGGACTCATATTTTAAGGGTTATTTGTCGCAAAAACTGCCGACATCCTAGCTTTAGGGTTTAGGGGTTCAGAGTTTAAAGATCCTTACCCTAAGGCTCTAAGGAGGCCTTTGGGCCTAAAGACTATACCATTAAAACTTTTGGGCTATTTCGAGATTTAGGGTTATAGAACTGGTGGACAGCTCCATGAAATCCTCAATTGTATTTAGAAACCCTGATTGAAGAAGAAGGGATTGAATTTGCTCTTAGAGGTCTAATGAGGGTTTACTACAGCTCTCTTTCATGTTGGAGTCTCGGGTTTAGGGCCTAGGGGCTTTGGGCCGTCGGGCTTTAGGGTTCTGAGGTCTAGGATTTTCAGGTTTAGGGTCAACGCTATGTCCCTAAACCCTTAATCCTAGTGCCCGGCGCTGGGGTCACGGTTTAAGATTCAACTGCACTCCCAGGATTGGCCCTAAACCCTCAACCCTAAGCCCTAAGCCCTAAACCCTAAGCCCTAAGCCCTAAACCCTAAACCCTAAGCCCTAAACCCTAAGCCCTAAGCCCTAAGCCGTAAACCCTAAGCCCTAAACCCTAAACCCTAAACCCTAAACCCTAAGCCCTAAACCCTAAGCCCTAAGCCCTAAGCCGTAAACCCTAAGCCCTAAACCCTAAACCCTAAGCCCTAAACCCTAAGCCCTAAGCCCTAAGCCGTAAACCCTAAACCCTAAACCCTAAGCCCTAAGCCCTAAACCCTAAGCCCTAAACCCTAAACCCTAAGCCCTAAACCCTAAACCCTAAACCCTAAGCCCTAAGCCCTAAACCCTAAACCCATAGAGCCCTCAACCCTGAGCCTTCATCCGAATTCCTTACTTGGAGGGTCGGGGGACTTAGTAAGGGCTCCTTTAAAGGGGATTCTAAGGGTTCCTTTAAAGGGCTCTATAAGGGTAGTATAGGGTTTAGGGTTTAGGGTTCAGGGACTTAGTAAGTAGGTAGTAAGTAGACTTATAAGTACCCTAAAAGGGACCCTAATTGGGGGTATGGTACTTATAAGTCCGTAAAATAACCAGTTACTAAGTCCCCCGACCCTACAAGTAGCTTCACTCCAGGCTCAACGACCAGGGCTGGGAGACCGGGGACAAAACGCGACGCGCCTCCACGAAGCGGAACGTGTGGAATTGGTTCTTCGAGACACTTGGCTAGTTTGAGTATGGTTTTGAGCTAAGGTTAATTTGTTTTTTTTGTTTCGAGCTTTAAGCTTAAGTTGTATGCAGGCTTTTTGTCGGGTTTGGGGGTGTTGAATGTCGGGGTTAATTTGTTTTAGGTTCAGCCGATACATGCCACCAAGGATTCTACTCCCTACTGCACAAGAGTATGTGCACACGCGGCAAGAGCAGCAGCAGGACGCCGCAGCCGTAAGTGAATCTGTCGTGAAGACTGCAGGGAACTTAGCTGAACTCTGTCTACAGGTAATAGCCGGAGGCAGATTGAGTATAAGTCCCCTAAGGGTCCATGTACCCATATAGAGAGATACATGGGCCCCAAAGTACCTATATAGGGACTACATGAAGGCCAATGTATATACTATATGAGTACATGAACCCTTACGGAGTCTACTTCCCCCTAACAGGTCCGAGTACCCAAACAATACAACTCCAGGTCCCAAAAACTATACTCTAAATGGTCTTTGGTATCTAAACCTCAACTTGGAGGATCATGGGACTTGGCAAGTAATTAAGGCTATACGTTATACTTACCTTAATCATAAGTGTATTACAGTATAGTATAGTTATCTTATTTGCAATCGCAGTTACTAGTTCCCATGCTCCTCCAAGTACTATTTGGGTACTTCGAGCCTCTGAGCTTCGGTTCTCAGGGATCCTGGGCGGTTTAGGGTTTAGGGGCACCAGGTTATAAGTACCTTAATTGGGGTTATAAGTAATTATAAGTATAGTTACCTTATTTATAACCCTAGTTACTAAGTCTCATGATCCTTTAAGTAGGTAACCTTCAACCTTTTGGGGCTTATACAGCGCCTTCTTGGCCCAACTCTGCTGACCCCAGTGTTTCAACGGGGCTGGCCGACCTGAAACCTGATGACCGGGCTCCGGAGCATGAATCTAAAAATGGCAGCAGCCACCCAGCAAACCCACGGCTGCAAATCCTTTCGTTGTGTGCTTGAGGGATGGAGGGGTTTAGGGTTCAGGGTTTAGGGTTCAGGGTTTAGGGTTTAGGGTTTAGGATGGATGGATGGGTGGAGGGATGGAGGGATGGATCGGTGGATCGCTGGATCGATGGACGGACGGAGGGATTGATGGATGCAGGTACATATGTGCATGTGCATATGCTCATATGTACGTATGTTCATATGTACGAATGCGTGTGCCCGAAACCCTGGATGTTTAACCTCATCCCAAACACACATGGAACACAGTCAAGTCATTGCAGCAAACACTGTAAAGCCTAAACTTCGTAACATTCATCGCTAAACCCCTCATCCTTGAACCCGACACCCCCAAACCCTAAACCCCCACCTGTCACCCCTGTAGCACCTTGCTGGAGCCCGTGAAAGGAACACAAAAGGAACATACACAATCTTTCCCTGAACCCTAAACCTTTTCCTGAAGCAACTTAAAGAACCCGCCTTATCCAACAAGGACCTAGAGTAGGCCCTTATTCCCTTTTTGGGGGTTCAGGTTCCCCGCTAAGTCCCTGTAAACCTAAAAGGGCACCCTTTGTATTCCTAGGTTACTCTTGGGTTCAGGTTCCCTTCTAAGCCCCTGTAAACCTAAAAGGGCACCCTTTCTATTTCTGGGTTACCCTACAGTAAACCCCATAAAGTTGGAAACCGGATTAAGGCCAAATAGTGCTGGGGTTCCCTATACATTACTCTTAAGGATTGAGGCTATTGAGTTTCCAACTTTTGGGCTTCTACTGTAGATGCCTTTGAGCGACAAGACCCCCCTAAACCCAAAAAGGAACCCTTTAAAGGAACCCCTATAGATCCCTTTAAAGGAACCCTTATAGATGCCTTTAAGGGAGCCCTTAAAGGATCCCTTTAAACCCCGCCCGCTTTTACCGGATGGTTACCTACCCTCTAATATACCTTAAAACCCCACTGTTAAGGACCATAAGGGCTCCATTAAAGGGCCTTTGGGGGTCCTTTTTCTTTCTGGGTTACCCTAAACCCTAAACCCTAAACCCTATGGTTTATCCAAATCAGACCTGCAGGCTCGAATTCGCCAGGCGGCACCGCCGGCTCCGCCTGCTCCGACAGAGCCGGAGCAGTCGGAGGAGGCGAGGATGAGAGGTTGACTAGGGTTCCTTTAAAGGGGTCTATCAGGCTACTAGAAGGGATCTATAATGGTTCTTAGTAGGGAATGGGGGAATGGATTATGGAGGCTATTATTGGGGATTGTATACCTGGACCCCAAAAGTATGTAGAATAATCGCCTTTTATAGACTTTGGGGCCATTATTTTACCTACTTTGGGGGGTCTAGGCAATAATTACCAGTATTATTTCTTAGGGCTCCTTATTACAAATATTCCATAAAGAGCCCCAAACCCTGTTCTGATTAAGGCCCCTACATTAGTGTTTAGGGGTTTCGGGTTTAGATGTGAGGCTTCTTTAGGGTTTCAGGTTAGTTAGTATGTAGAAAAATAGCCTTTTATAGGTTTTGGGCCATTATTTTACCTACTTGGGGGGGGGGTCTAGGCAATAACCGGGGACCCAAATATAGTACCCTAAATAGTTGGATCCTTATTATAAGGACCCCAAAATAAGGTGCCCCTAATTTTCGGAAACTCCCACCTGGGTTCAATCCAGACTGATTGAACCCTAAACCCTAAACCCCTAAACCCCTAAACCCTAAACCCTGAACCCTGAACCCTAAACTTGAACTCGAACTCAACTCTGTGAAAAACTTGGAACCGCTCAGAGGCCGAGCCACAGGCCTTATCCGAGCAGCAGGCGGGGCTTTTTGAGGGATCCTTTAAGGGCTCCCTTAAAGGCATCTATAGGGTTCCTTTAAAGGGATCTATAGGGGTTCCCTTAAAGGGTTCTATAAAGGCTTCTATAGGGGTTCCTTTAAAGGGATTTATGGGAGTTCCCTTATAGGGGTTCCTTTAAGGGGTTCCTTTATGGGTTTAGGGGCTTCTTGTCGCTTAAAGGCATCTACAGTAGAAGCCCAAAGTTGGACACCCAATAGCCTCAATCCTTAAGACTCATGTATGGGGAATCCCAGCACTGTTTGGCCTCCATGCGGTTTCCAACTTTGTGGGGTTTACTGCATACAGTAGGGTTTCCTTTAACGGGGTTTTGTAGGGGTTAATTTAAAGGAATCTATATAGGGCTCCCTTAAAGGGATCTTTAGGGTTCCCTTGAGGAAATCTTTAGCGGCTTTTTTGCAGGGATCCATAAGTAAGGGTTCTCTAAGGGATCTATAGGTCTTAGCGATTTACATAGGGTTTTAGGGTGTTGAGGGTTTGGGGTTCCTTGATGGGGTTACTGTTCCTTTAAAGGTTTGGGGTCCCTTTAAGGCTTTAGGGGTTTAGGGTTAAGGGCTCCTTTACTGTAAAGGCTTACGGTTCCTTTAAAAGGGTTTAGGGTTTAGGGTTTCAGGGTTTCCGTGATTGTGCTGGAGGGGTGTGAAGGGTGTCTAGTGTGCCTGCATGGGTGTTTAGGGGTTTTGTGCTGGTACTGCCAGGGGTTTAGAAGGGTGTTTAGGGTTCCTGCAAGGGTGTCGAGGGTTGTTTTCAAGGGTCCGATAAAGGTTCCATAACTTGGTTTGGGTTTCCTTCGACGGTCCTATAAAGGTTCTACAAGAGCTTTATAGGATTATTGTACGAGTTCCGAATTTATTTCAGATTCCCAGCTGCTACCCTAAACCCTTAAACCTCTAAATGTCCAAGCCCTACGCCCCTAAGCCCGAGACCTTAAACCCTTCAGAATTTAGGTTTTCAAGCCAGGTGGGTCTCAGAATGAAAGGTTACAAATGCTTAAAGGGGAAGGCAGAGAAGTCCGTGCCCTTTGTAATAGCTCAGAACGCCAACCCGCCTCCCGTCCCCCCCCGCCTCACAAAAGCACACCGAACGCTTGGACTCTTCGGAGCATTACTGACTTAAAGAAAACCCTCCGTCGAAAACGCAGTAGCACCCTTTCCCTTTTCTTGGGTGGATCTCCGTACAAAGACCGAAGAGTATGAAACAGGGCACCCTTATAGTTTTTAAGTAGGGGAAAGCAGGCCCAATTGCTATCCAAAGTAGGGTCCCTTTAAAGGCTCACTTTTTTTTGACAAGGGCGCCATATAGTCTTTTAGGGTACCTAAAAAGGACCGGCCGTCTCGATACTTACCCCGATCGAGCCCAAGATTCCAAGAGGAAACCAAAAGACTGCCTTTAAAGGGGTCCACAAGGCCACTACACTAAGGGGTACTTTGAAATACTTTTCAATTTTTGGTTATTATAATCCCTAAGAAGCAGCTAAAATTAAAATTGTTGCTAGGAAACTAAGTTCAGTATAGTATAAGGGATCTATAATGGTTCTTAGTAGGGAAGGGGGGAATGGATTATGGAGTATTATTGGGGATTGTATAGGGACCAATATATGGGTGGGTGTCAAAATTATGGTCCCTTTTAGGGTCCTTCATATAGTACAGTACGGCCCCTAATATTTGGGGTACCCAAAAAGGGACTATAATTTTGACAGCTACCCATATGTAAATCCAGCAGAGGCCAAAATTCAAAATAGTCTGAGCACGCTGAAAGCCAGAAAAAGACCCCAACCCCTGAAACGAAAAGGCAAAGACAAGTACACTAGCAGGCTGCACCCCATCCTCAACCCCTAAATCCCTAAACCGCTAAACACTCCAGATCCCTCATAGAACCCTTACTTATGGATGCCTTTCAAGCAATCCTCTGGGTCCCTTCAAGGGACCCCCGTAAGCCGCCAAGCCCTCTCTTGAGGAGGCTGCAGGACCGCCCTAAACCCCTAAACCCTAAAGATCCCTTACCCAAAGGGTCCAAAGTACCCTTTATAGTAGAATGTAGGGTTTCTATATTAGGAATTGCTATTATGATTTGGGGAAGTGTCCCCCGTAACAGTCCAAAGGACCCTTTGGGTTATAGAACCCTTACAGATCCCTTTAAAGGAACCTTTAGAGATCCCTTTCAAGTAACCCTTATAGATCCCTTTCAAGGAACCCTAAAGCCGCATATGAACCTTAAACCCTAAAGCCCTTTCTTGAGGAGGTCCCTAAACCCTAAAGCCCTCTCTTGAGGTATAGATCCGTTTCAAGGAACCCTAAAGCCGTGTATAAACCCTAAAGCCCTCTCTGGAGGAGTCTCCAGAACAGCCACAAGAGGCTGCAGAGAACGAGGCAGAGACAGAGCTCCTCAGCGAGGAAGGAGAAGAATTCGAGGACCTACTGGGCTCAGTTTGGGTTTTTGGGCTTATCGGGTTTAGTGTTTACGGTTTAAAGTTTAGGGTTTACGGTTTAAAGTTTAAAGTTTAGGGTTTAGGAGGTTACGGCTGAGAGTTTGAACATGGCTTGGCTTTGGGAGGATTTTGGGTTGAAGGGGCTCTTGTTAAGGCATCGAGTTTAAGCGCTGTAGTCTCGAAACCTGGGACAGACCCCACCCGGATCCTAAATGGTCTACCTTCTTGGGGTCCAGAAAACGATAAGTTATTCAGGGAAAACGTAGAGTCTAGGACTTAGCGTTTAGGCTTTATGCACTCATGTTTAGGACTGTTCGTCCGACTTATCAATCCTCCTCCATGGGGTTCCTTTTCGTTCTAGACGGCGACCCCGTCACTGCAAAAGAGTGTTCTGGCTTTGGGATCGGCTCCCAAAGGGGTCATGGCATTTCTGGGGAGGGTTTGGGCTTTGGGGGCTAAGGTTTGGGATCTCACTACGAGGGTCCAGGAGCCTTGGGGTATGGATTCTGAATCAGTGTATGTTTGTCTAAACACGTGTCGGTGGTCTTGGTACCGTGTAAAACTTTTGTGGAACAAAAGTATGGATCGTTTTGTCCGTGGTGGTGCAAAACCCATTAGTGAGAATTCGGGTTCAAATGAATTGTACGGCGGGTGGGCAAGCATGTACCTTGAGCACCCTGAAACCAGTAACAAGCCTGGCATATTCCTTGTCCTGGGCAATGCAGGGTTTTGCCCATCAACATGAAAACGCGGGGGGGATCACATCATAAGTATGTCCTCGTAACTGGCCAAATTTAGCCCAAGTAGTCCACAGACCACTCTACCGATAGCCCGTTGGCTAAGTCCACTTAGAAGTGGGCTTGGGCATAGTCACGTGAATTCGGGTCTGCATGGCTGTAGGGAGTACATCCCTGATGCATTTTGCATGTGTCTAAATCCTGAAGCCCACATCATCGGACTTATCAAGTCAGGTTATAAATACCTCACTTGAGGTTCATCATTGAATGATCATAGTTATGCCTTCGTTATAACCCTTGTTCGTTAGTCCCATGATCTTTTAAGTACACCCCGACCCCGAGCTAAGGCTTTACCACCACTAAATCTCAAACTCTTGGTCGACGACGCGATGCACGGGTCATTCCACGATGACCAGCTGCAGCTGAGGCCGTTGTGTCCGCCATATACAGGCAGACACAAGTGCACAGCAGCGGCGCATGGGTGTCCGTTACGGTGCCCAGTAACGACGAGAAGCTTCACAAGATCTTCGAAAGGCTGCTAGCTTCGACGTGGGGAGCACATTGTGCATGAATCCACGACTGCAGCGCTGCCGTTCTAACCGAAGAACTTACCTTTGGTTAGTAGGGAATGGAGGAATGGGGTACAATTATAACTTATAACTACTATTGCGACCATTCTTCCATTCCCTACTAACCAAAGGTAAGAGAAGACCTCACGAGGTCAACTAGGGTTATAATTAGGGTAACTATACTTATAACTGCTTATAGCCCCAATTAAGGTACCTATAACCTACTTTACTAAGTCCCATGATACTCCAAGTGCTCATCTCTTTGGCTTCGGACTTCGGCACCCTCGGATGGCCATTGCCAACAGCGTGGTCTCTGGAAGGTCTCGTCGAGAGTTTCTTCCTTCCGGTGCAGGTGCCGCAAGCTCTGTCTATGCTCTTCACGGAGTGTCAAGAATGCTACAAGTTTGGGTGCTCTTCCTCAAAACTGTGAACACTGAGCCTTGAACCCTAAACCCGAGCCTTTATCCCGAAGCCCCAAAACCCCAATGAACCGCAGCGTTTATGAGCCCTTGCAGACAGCCCACCCCGAAACCGTCTGGACCCCGGCCGTAAAGCTCCCAACGAATCTCTGTAAAATCTACAAAAATAACCTACGCCGAAGGATCCTCTCTGTAAAACCTATAAAGAAAACCTACGCCGAAGGATCCACAAGAAAAGCAAAGACTTCAGAACGAGCTTTACGCACACACCTTCGTGGTCCTCAAAGGCGCAGGGGTTGACTAGGTAGTACATAAAGTATCGTGGGACTTAGTAACTAGGGTTATAATTAAGGTAACTGTACTTATATCTTCTTGTGACCTAAGTCTCCTGATCCTCCAAGTATATATTTCAGCCTGAGAGGCGTTCCTATACCAGGACCACCCAATGGCCCTTTACTGGAGCCCTTATGGTCCTTAATAGTGGGTCTTTAGGGTATATTAGTGGGTAGTGGGGGGTCTAAGTATAGGTATCTTGAGGGGGAAGCAAAAACAATGCAGGTAAATGAAGTCTTGGGGGGAGTACAAAGGGTTTCGGGGAGGAGTTGAAGGTTCAAGGTTTCCAGGGTTTCGGGGTTGGGTTTTAGCGCTTGGGTTTACGGCTTTAGGTTTTGGGGTTGTAGGGTTTAGGGCTTCCAGGGTTTAGGGGTTGACTTTGAGGGTTTGGGGCTTTTTGAGGGTCAACAGGAAACACCCTCATAAAACCCTGCAAAAGCCTTTCTCAAATCCATTAAAACCCAGAGACCCGCTTGAATCCTACATACTCTTGCTCAAAATGGCCCGGAAGCCTCATGTAGCGTGGCTTAGATCCCCAGTACCTAACCTTTAAACTTTTTGGGCTCTTATGGTTTATTAGGAGTCGGAAAGTTTAACCTTTGATTTCTGTAGCTTATTGGGGTCTTCAGGCCCGAAAGCCCAAAAAAACTGAGTCCTTAGAGCCTTTGGGATAGAGCCTAGGCCTAGACCCTAAACCCTAAAACCCTAAAACCCTTATAATAGCCCTTATAGTAATCCTTATAGATCCCTTTAAACGGAGCCTAGGCCCCTCTTTACACGTACAAACCTGAGCTCCGGTTAAACGATCGATTCCGACAGCGCCACCCGAGCTGCAAGGGGACACATGCCTACACTTGAAAAGCATAAGCTGCAGTCTCCTTCGGAGTTTGTTTTAAATTTTTGTTCAGATAAAAGCCAAGAGAGTAGCAAAATCACGGGGTTAGTGTGTATAGGGTTCAGGGTCTCGGATACAAGCTTTAGTGTTGTACATCCTGCTATATAGGACCCACTCAACTCCAAACTTAGGCTGAGGTTAAACCCCAAACCCTACACCCCTACTGTGGTTGATGATAGAAATCCTGCATTCCCCAAAATAATTATACCATCATATCATCAACCCTAAACCCTAAACGCTAAAACCCTATAGATCCCTTAAAGGAGCCCCTTAAAGGTAGCCTTATGGATCCCTGTCAAGGAGCCCCTTAAAGGTGCCCTTATAGACCGCTTTTAAGAATTCCCAGGACTTCTATCATCAACCATACTTAAAGGATCATGGGACTTAGTAACTAGGGTTATAATTAGGGTAACTATACTTATAACTACTTATAACCCCAATTAAGGTACTTATAACTTTACTTACTAAGTCCCATGATCCTCCAAGTAGGACCGCCGAGTTTCCCGCTTGAGGTGAGAATTTGCTATGTCAGCTCATGGAACCCGAGGCGGCTTCCTCCAGCGGGGGTGATGGGGGCGCCGGGGGTCACGGGAGGGCGGGGGAAAGGGGGTGTGGGTTAGGGTTTCGGGGTTGGGGTTTAGGGTTGAGAATGGTTCGATCACCTGATGCTTCATCCAAGCGTTCTGTCTCGTTGAGGCTTGGTTGGATTTTCCAGTCGCAAGGCCAGCGATTGCTTCTTGCAGACTGGAAGACTTGGGTCTTCCTTTGTCTTGCGGGGCCATTGCCAAGTACGTCTGTGCATCCGCATGATGAAGTCTTTGCTTCAAGTAACCACGCTGATGCTCGGTGTGGACGAGAAGAATGGTTCGATTACCTGATGTCGTGGGTGTCGCAAGCATGCCGTTGGATGGTTGCACGGCAGCAGGATGACACTGTTTTTTCTAGTAACCACGCCGAAGCTACGGGAGTGTGGACTCAGAATGGTTCGATTACCTGATGCTGCATCCAGGCGTTCTGTCCCTTTGAGCATTGATAGGCTATGCTGAGAGCTCACATTGCCAGCGATTTGCTGTTGTGCACGTGTAGACTTGTTTCTTCTATTTTTTCTCTGTCGCAGGATGACACGACTGCAAGTAACCACTGGCAGATGTGCTGGTGAAGACACAGCTAGAGGATCGACTATCTGATTGTCAGTGACCGACAGTGAGCTGGATTGCCTGAGTGTGTGTGTGTGTGTGGTTGTGTGTGTACATCTGTGATTGTATGCCGATGTGAAGCCAAGCCACATGATGAAATCTTTGCTTCAAGTAACCACGCTGATGGTCGGTGCGGACGCTAAGAATGGTTCGATTACCTGATGTCGCGGCTATCACAGGCATTCTGTTGCGCGGACGCACGGCAGCAGGATGAAATTGGTTTTGCAAGTAACCACTCTGAAGCTACAGTAGTGTGGACTGAGAATGGTTCGATTACCTGATGCTGCATGCAGGTGTTCGGTCTCGTTGAGCGTGGAAGGGCCCTTCTCACAGGCACCATGCTTCTTGTCATCTTGTAGACTTGATTGTTCCTTTGTCTTGCGGGGCCATTGCCAAGCACATCTGTGCATCCACATGATGAAGTGATTGCTTCAAGTAACCACGCTGATGCTTGGTGTGGACGAGAAGAATGGTTCGATTACCTGATGTCGTGGGTGTCGCAAGCATGCTGTTGGATGGTTGCACGGCGGCAGGATGACACTGTTTTTTCAAGCAACCACGCCGAAGCTACGGGAGTGTGGACTCAGAATGGTTCGATTACCTGATGCTGCATCCAGGCGTTCTGTCCCTTTGAGCATTGATAGGCTATGCTGAGAGCTCACATTGCCAGCGATTTGCTGTTGTGCACGTGTAGATTTGTTTCTTCTATTTTTTCTCTGTCGCAGGATGACACGACTGCAAGTAACCACTGGCAGATGTGCTGGTGAAGACACAGCTAGAGGATCGACTATCTGATTGTCAGTGACCGACAGTGAGCTGGATTGCCTGAGTGTGTGTGTGTGTGGTTGTGTGTGCACATCTGCGACTGTATGCCGATGTGAAGCCAGGCCACATGATGAAATCTTTGCTTCAAGTAACCACGCTGATGCTCGGTGCGGACGCAAAGAATGGTTCGATTACCTGATGTCGCGGCTGTCACAAGCATTCTGTTTCGTGGACGCACGGCAGCAGGATGACACTGTTTTTCCAAGTAACCACTCTGAAGCTACAGTAGTGTGGACTGAGAATGGTTCGATTACCTGATGCTGCATGCAGGTGTTCGGTCTCGTTGAGCGTGGAAGGGCCCTTCTCACAGGCACCATGCTTCTTGTCAACTTGTAGGCTTGGTTGTTCCTTTTTCTTGCGGGGCCATTGCCAAGTAAGTCTGTCCATCCACATGATGAAGTCTTTGCTTCAAGTAACCACGCTGATGCTCGGTGTGGACGAGAAGAATGGTTCGATTACCTGATGTGGTGGGTGTCGCAAGCATGCCGTTGGATGGTTGCACGGCGGCAGGATGACACTGTTTTTCAAGTAACCACACCGAAGCTACGGGAGTGTGGACTGAGAATGGTTCGATTACCTGATGCTGCATGCAGGTGTTCGGTCTCGTTGAGCGTGGAAGGGCCCTTCTCACAGGCACCATGCTTCTTGTCAACTTGTAGGCTTGGTTGTTCCTTTTTCTTGCGGGGCCATTGCCAAGTAAGTCTGTCCATCCACATGATGAAGTCTTTGCTTCAAGTAACCACGCTGATGCTCGGTGTGGACGAGAAGAATGGTTCGATTACCTGATGTGGTGGGTGTCGCAAGCATGCCGTTGGATGGTTGCACGGCGGCAGGATGACACTGTTTTTCAAGTAACCACACCGAAGCTACGGGAGTGTGGACTGAGAATGGTTCGATTACCTGATGCTGCATGCAGGTGTTCGGTCTCGTTGAGCGTGGAAGGGCCCTTCTCACAGGCACCATGCTTCTTGTCAACTTGTAGACTTGATTGTTCCTTTGTCTTGCGGGGCCATTGCCAAGCACATCAGTGCATCCACATGATGAAGTCTTTGCTTCAAGTAACCACGCTGATGCTCGGTGTGGACGAGAAGAATGGTTCGATTACCTGATGTCGTGGGTGTCGCAAGCATGCCGTTGGATGGTTGCACGGCGGCAGGATGACACTGTTTTTCAAGTAACCACACCGAAGCTACGGGAGTGTGGACTCAGAATGGTTCGATTACCTGATGCTGCATCCAGGCGTTCTGTCCCTTTGAGCATTGATAGGCTATGCTGAGAGCTCACATTGGCCAGCGATTCGCCGTTATGGGCTCGTAGACTAGTTTCTTCTCTTTTTTGTTTGTCGCATGACGACACGACTGCAAGTAACCACTGGCAGATGTGCTGGTGAAGACACAGCTAGAGGATCGACTATCTGATTGTCAGTGACCGACAGTGAGCTGGATTGCCTGAGAGTGTGTGTGTGTACATCTGTGACTGTATGCCGATGTGAAGCCAAGCCGCATGATGAAGTCTTTGCTTCAAGTAACCACGCTGATGGTCGGTGCGGACGACAAGAATGGTTCGATTACCTGATGCCGCGGCTGTCACAAGCATTCCGTTGCATGGACGCACGGCGGCAGGATGACACTGTATTTGCAAGTAACCACTCTGAAGCTACAGTAGTGTGGACTGAGAATGGTTCGATTACCTGATGCTGCATGCGGGTGTTCGGTCTCGTTGAGCGTGGAAGGGCACTTCTCACAGGCAACATGCTTCTTGTCAACTTGTAGACTTGGTTGTTCCTTTGTCTTGCGGGGCCATTGCCAAGCACGTCTGTGCATCCGCATGATGAAGTCTTTGCTTCAAGTAACCACGCTGATGCTTGGTGTGGACGAGAAGAATGGTTCGATTACCTGATGTCGTGGGTGTCGCAAGCATGCTGTTGGATGGTTGCACGGCGGCAGGATGACATTGTTTTTTCAAGCAACCACGCCGAAGCTACGGGAGTGTGGACTCAGAATGGTTCGATTACCTGATGCTGCATCCAGGCGTTCTGTCCCTTTGAGCATTGATAGGCTATGCTGAGAGCTCACATTGCCAGCGATTTGCTGTTGTGCACGTGTAGACTTGTTTCTTCTATTTTTTCTCTGTCGCAGGATGACACGACTGCAAGTAACCACTGGCAGATGTGCTGGTGAAGACACAGCTAGAGGATCGACTATCTGATTGTCAGTCACACGCAGTGAGCTGGATTGCCTGAGAGTGTGTGTGTGTGTACATCTGTGACTGTATGCCGATGTGAAGCCAGGCCACCTGATGAAATCTTTGCTTCAAGTAACCACGCTGATGGTCGGTGCGGACGCAAAGAATGGTTCGATTACCTGATGTCGCGGACGCACGGCGGCAGGATGACACTGTATTTGCAAGTAACCACTCTGAAGCTACAGTAGTGTGGACTGAGAATGGTTCGATTACCTGATGCTGCATGCGGGTGTTCGGTCTCGTTGAGCGTGGAAGGGCACTTCTCACAGGCAACATGCTTCTTGTCAACTTGTAGACTTGGTTGTTCCTTTGTCTTGCGGGGCCATTGCCAAGCACGTCTGTGCATCCGCATGATGAAGTCTTTGCTTCAAGTAACCACGCTGATGCTTGGTGTGGACGAGAAGAATGGTTCGATTACCTGATGTTGTGGGTGTCGCAAGCATGCTGTTGGATGGTTGCACGGCGGCAGGATGACACTGTTTTTTCAAGTAACCACGCCGAAGCTACGGGAGTGTGGACTCAGAATGGTTCGATTACCTGATGCTGCATGCAGGTGTTCTGTGCCTTTGAGCATTGATAGGCCGTGCTGAGAGCTCACATTGCCAGCGATTTGCTGTTGTGCGCGTGTACACTTGTTTCTTCTGCTTTTTCTCTGTCGCAGGGTGACACGACTGCAAGTAACCACTGGCAGATGTGCTAGAGGATCGACTATCTGATTGTCAGTCACACGCAGCGAGCTGGATTGCCTGAGAGTGTGTGTGTGTGTACATCTGTGACTGTACTGCCGATGTGAAGCCAAGCCACATGATGAAATCTTTGCTTCAAGTAACCACGCTGATGCTCGGTGCGGACGTACAGAATGGTTCGATTACCTGATGTCGTGGCTGTCACATGTATCCGGTTGCGTGGACGCAAGGCAGCAGGATGAAAATGTTTTTTCAAGTAACCACGCTGAAGCTACGGGAGTGTGGACTGAGAATGGTTCGATTACCTGATGCTGCATCTAGGCGTTCCGTCTCGTTGGACCTTGATAGGCCTTTGTCAAGGGCGTATTGTCAGCGATTCGATTCTATGGGCTTGTAGACTTGATTGTTTTCTGGTTCATATCTGTAGTGGCAGGGCGACACGACTGCAAGTAACCACTGGCAGATGTGCTGATGAAGACACAGCTAGAGGATCGACTATGTGACCGTGAGTGTCAGTGAGCAGCCTTGTGCTATTGTCTGAGTTCGTCGTCGATTGATGCAAAACATATTTAACATCAAGACTGTTGTCGCAAGCAGCCACGTGCATGCCTGGATTTGCAGGTTTGCTTGCGTTCTGTCAGCTCAGTCCCTGCATGTGTGGCTTGATTTGCCTCCAGCCTGGTTCTACTCGCTTTGCCGATGCACTCTGTTGATCCACCACGGAGGGCCAGTTCTGATGATAATTGCACGAGGGTTTAGGGTGTCGGACGTGACGCTGAAGACCTTCCTTGAGGTTTCACAGCTGAAGCGCCCATCCTTGCGTGGTGTCTCTGACCATTGCCGGATCCAGGTGTCGAAGGATATGTTTCAAGTTTGACGTTTTCGACGTGAGATGAGATCCGACTCCTGATTATATTGCCAAATCTGATAGTGGCGCGCCGAACGAACTCCCAGACATCCGACTCCTGAGTGAATTGTCAAGTTTCCTACTGTCATAGGGATCCTTAGGGGTATAGGGGGGAGGGGTGTAGGGGACTATATTTCCTTAAATAGGCCTTATTCGTCCTTATTATGGGCCTTAAGGCCCCCTACCCCCCCTCCCCCTACACCCCTAAGGATCCCTATGACAGATCCTAAAGACTCCAAAACCCTGTAATTAAGGACTATAATGCCTTAAATCATATTACGGTACCCCTAAGGATCCCTATGATACTGGTGAGCCGGACCAGCTCTTAGATGATACGCAGCATGATTCCTCCCAGCCGCCGAATGTGAAGTTAGCTGGCCCTAGGGCTCCAGTTGCCTAAACAGTAGGGTTTAGGGTTTATAAGGATTACAGGTTCTAGGGTTTTTGAGTTAATTCGGGGTTTTGGGGTATATTACGTACCCCGTATCCTACTATTTGGGTAGCCGGAGCCATAGGGGTCAGGTGGAAGTTGTAGGTTTGCTCAAAAGCGGGGGGGAATTCGTTGTCCAAGCTCGCGGACAGTTGCGCAGGTTCTGGTGCTCATGCCAGAGTTGCACCTTGGACTTGGCCCTTCCATGCAAAGCCTGGTACTGGGAGGTTACCCAGAGGCTCCATAGTAGTTCCTTTTGGGGGTTCATATTTAGAATCCTATAAGGTAATCCCAAAAAGGAACTACTATGGAGCCTCTGGGTAGTGGGTAGGTATAAGTTGAGTTATGTAGGTAAGGTAACTATAATGATGATAACCAATAGTAAGGGGCTTAAAACTCCACTTATGGTTCAAGTAGGAACTGCTTCTCGCGTGTGTGTTGTCAGAGGCCTGAAACCCAGTGCCTCGAATTTGTCAATGATGCTGAAACCTTCAACCTCAAACTACTGTTGGTAGGCTCGCCGATTGCAGTTTGATTGTACGGAACCTTGATAGTTTGTACGTTAGGTTCTGCCCCAGAGAGAGACAGAGAGGAAAGCGGCCTAACATCCCATAGCTGTCTTCATATGGCAGCAATCGCAGTCGTAACAGTAAACCCGAAACCCTAGACCCTGGTAGCAGCCTAAACCCTGAACCCTAAACCCTAAAAGTAGTGGCAGTAGAAGCAGTAGCAGCAGCAGGCGAGGTTCTCGGTGGTACACGTAGCCGCGATGCGCTGGCTACATTCGGGACACGGGACGTATTCCATTAGGATGTCCTTATTTGTGGGGATAGTGGCAACCCGCTAAACATAGAACAAGCCGCAGAACCCTGTAAGACTTCGATGAACGAATCCTCAAACCCCCATCACCCAACTGTTGAGGCCGTCCAGAGTATAGTGTCTACTTTAGGGTCGAAAGACTATAGATAGTATCTACTTAGCAGATACTATCCCTAGACTTTCGAGCCCAAAGTAGATTCCATTTTTCTTCTTGGAGTTGTAGGTCCGGGAAGTATCACTAGCAAAGAACCCTAAACCCTAAACCACTAAATCCCCGTGAGAAGAACCCCTAAACCCCTAAACCCTAAACCCGAACGTAGGAACCCGATCAAGAAATTTGGGCCTATAACCGCAAAATAGTAGGACTCATATAAGGAACCCTAATAAAAGCCCAAGGTTTCTTGATCAGGTTCCTACATTACCACCCCAAACCCTATAGATCCCTTATAGAACCCTTACAGATCCCTTTAAAGGAACCCTACAGATCCCTTTATAGAACCCTTATGGATCCCAAGGAACCCTAAACCACCAAGGAAGGTCATCTTCAATCAACTCTTTGAGGCCTGGCCTCTTAGACTCTTCGGGGAGACCTGAAGTAACTCAGATGGCCCATTATTCTACAACGAAGGAGCCCTCGAAAATTGGTGTAATTTTGTAAACCTACTTAAAGGACCATGGAACTTAGTAACTGGAGCTATAAAGTACAGCTTAATTAAGGTGACTAGACCTATACTCACTTATAGCCCCGATCAGCGTTTGGGGCTTAAGGGTTGCAGGTTGAGGATCCATATCGTAGGCGCCAAATCTACTGCAAGAGTGCTGTGCAGGTTTGTTGAGCGCCAGTTCTGGCCACAATGTTGAACTATAATCTCTGATATGGGTAGTTATCTACATGTAGTATCCCTTGTTAACTAGGGTTCGGGGGTAAGAGTCCAGGGGTTTAGGCTTCGGGGTTTGGGGGTTTAGGGATTTTTGTGAGATTCCGGAACCTACCACAGCGACTCCTAGCGTCCTTTGGGTAACTGCTAATCCTTTAAGGTTTGGAGGGCCTTAACAAACCGTCGCAACACCGCCGCGAGTCTCAAGAAGCTGTTTAGGATTCAACACCACATCTTCCGTAAACCTCACCCTCTGATATCAAGATCCCAGGTCACGATTTCGGGGTTTAGGGGTGCAGGGGTTTAGGGCTCAGAGGTTAGGTGTTTCGAGTCAAGGACTTTGAGGTTTAATGAATTAGTGGTCAGAGTTGAGGGGTTTACGGGTGCTTTGGGATTCAAGGGTTTACGGTAAGCCCCAGAAAGTTGGAAGCCGGACTAAGGCCAAATAGTGCTGGGATACCTTATACGTTAGTCTTAAGGATTGAGGCTATTGGGTTTCCAACTTTTGGGCTTCTGAAAATAGTCTATACTTAGAGGATCATGGGACTTAGTAAGTAAGGTTATAAGTACCTTAATTGGGGTTATAAGTAGCTATAAGTATAGCTACCCTAATTATAACCCTAGTTACTAAGTCCCATGATCCTTCAAGTAGGAGTTGAGGTTTCACCTCCATGGGGCCAGAACCCTAAGCCCTAAACCCTTAACCCTAAACCCAGGCCTATGCCGATTTGCCCATGCCCGATGGAAGCGGCAGCATGAGCTTGAAGGCCCTCTTTTACAGGAGCAGCCAGCATTGGAATCGTGTTCAGGGTGGTTTAGGGTTTAGGGGTGCAGGTTTGGGGGGTGTCAGGATGTTGGCGAGGGCATTCACATGAGCTCGTTCTGCAGAAACGCTACCTATAGTCTCCATCGTTTTTTGGTTTAACCAATTTTATATCAAGGATCCTAAAAGGTAACCCCCAAAAAGGAGCTACAATGGAGACTATAGCTAACTTTGATGAGAGCCACGAGCCTAACATGCTCCAAGTGCTTGTTAGCCCTCAACCCTGAAACCCACTACAGTCCAAGCTCTTTTCCCAGAGCCCTCTCACATACCTTCTGAGTCGTGGCCCAAAAATCATCAAGAACGTCTATGCTCTCTGTCTTGGCCCTTCAGCTTTTCTTCGGCATTCCCACCCCCATCTAAAGCCATCAAACCCAACTCTTTGTACACACGCTGTTTACTTCCCAGGGACTGCTGCGCTGCTGCTGTGACTTTGACCTGTTCCCTGAACCTTGGCTTGTCAAATCCACCAGACACTACATAGTACATAGACGAAGCAAAAACTGTCCTTACTGCTGGGGCGCCTGTTTGTATAGTGGAATGTGGGCTATTGCTATTGGGAGTGCTTGTTCAGTTACCAGCTCGTTGCTGTTACCCTTATTGTTGCTGCTACCCAGTAGTGCCCAGGGCATTGTTAAGCACGATATCGCCGTTGTTAGTGGCGCTATCGTCGTCAATACCCATGATCGTGAGCAGCGTCGCTTCGAAGTAGTAGTAGTAGTAGTAGTCGTCGTCGTCGTCGTGGTCGTCGTAGTCGTAGTAGTCGTAGTAGTCGTGGTAGTAGTCGTAGTTAGTAGTAGTCGTAGTCGTAGTCGTAGTCGTAGTCGTAGTCGTAGTAGTAGTAGTAGTAGTAGTAGTAGTAGTAGTAGTAGTAGTAGTAGTAGTAGTAGTAGTAGCAGTTGTTGTTGTTGTTGTTGTTGCTGTTGTCGTCGTCGCCGTAGCAGTGAACATGAGAGCTAGCCGCATGACAGAGGCCTCTATGGTAAGGCACTCTCGTTAACCTGCCAGTGTTCTTTTCCAGTTTGCAAGTCGGATTTCAGAGTTGAGATCTTTCGCGCTGCGGTGTCGGGGAAATGGAAAAGCGGAGGGGGGGAGATCTCGTAAAAGGCCGTGATTCTTAGAATAGGCTTTGAGGTAACCCAAGGAGTAGCATGGGTAATTTGATTACTTGTTCCGACCCCTCTGTTGTCGTAGATCATGCAGGATTGTTGGGTTGAAGTCGTACAGTGATCAGGTAAGTTTGGCTCGCGTTTGTGTTGCAGTAGTAACAGAACAACGCTGCCAACAGTGGTCACAGTACTCAAAGGAATACTGTCAGAGAATAAGCAAATGGAAACAACTAAGCAAACATAGTCAGGACAATGGTTGTCAGACTGATTAGACTACTATCTCTAGCAAGAATGATGTGCCAATGATAGCGCATACTCAAGGGATCATGGGATTTGGTGACTAGGGCTAGGGTTCTAAAGGAGGTACCTAGACTTGTAGTTACGTGTACCCCCAAGAAAGGTCCTTTATTCAGAGCTAGGATGATCTTATATAGAAGCCCTCAAGAACTTAAACACCTACTAAGTCCCATGACCCTCCAAGTCCCGATGGTAGGGCTCCAGGGTTTAAGGGTTGAGGGTGTTGTGTTTCGGCCGCAGCCCCGAACATAACACTTTTCAGCGGATAGTGTCACACTTGGGCCCTTAGCACTAAACCTTAATCCTAAACCTAGAACCCCAAAGTCTGAGCTTTAACATTCTAACACAAGTAGTAATACTACATAGCAGTAGTGATAGTGCGACTGCTAACCACAAATTACATTAATGAGAGAACACAGTGCTGATCATAATGTCCTAAACCCTAAACCGTAAACCCTAGATCGGCCCTAGATCCCTAATCCGGAAACGGTTTAGGAGACGGTCCTATAAGCCGTGTCATCGAGGACCGGGTCGACTACAAGACGATCCTCTGGATCTACAACTCCGCAGAAGGCTGGTATTCGATTTGTTGTTTTAGAGTTTGCAGATCCGATCACTGCAGCCTGCACACTTGCTGGCATTCTTCCCTTAGGCACTGGGTCCACAACTTTAGCTAATTACCGGCTTGAGCCCCCAAAAAACACGAAGGGGATGATATGGTGGGGCCTAATTCCATGCCAGCAGTGCTTATGATGCTCTAGGATGTGACCTTCCTACATTATTCGCATCAAGCATACCCTAAACCCTAGAATTGAAGGACAGTCCAACCGGTCCCGATGCCATGGATTGATGCAGTACTGTTGCAGATCGACGGCATTCCCGCAGGCACCCAAAGTCGCAGAAGTAAGGTCTGAACCCCAGACTCTACACCCTTAATCGTAAACCCTGAACCCTAGACCCTAAACCCTAAACCCTAAACCCTAAATCCTAAACCCCTAAATCCCTAAATCCTAAACCCTAAACCCTAAACCCTAAATCCTAAACCCTAAACCCTAAACCCTAGACCCTAAACCCTAAACCCTTGGGACCGAAAGGAGTTCGCCGCCTATCGGCCCCAACATATCAGCCCATGTGTTCCAAATCCTAAGCACTCGGCCTTATGAAGTACAGGGAACTCCAGAAAGTTGGAATATGGTTTCAGGGTAGGATACCCTATAATTTACCATAAAGGGTTTAGGACAATCATATTCCAACTTTCCGGCTTCTACTGTATACGTGTTGCTAAGCGGTAGAAACGTACATGGACACGTGTATGGTGTTAGCTCATGATATGTTACGATATGTCATGTTAGGTTATGTTTTTTGTTTTCTGGCTCCTGCTTCTCTTCCCCTGAGCCACCATCATGGGACACAGCATAGAGAACATGTCCCTTGTGAGGAGCTTATCTGGGGTCCCATGCTATGGTGTCATAGCGGGAGAGGCAACCTTAAACCTCTCCAGACCCTAGAATATATAGCACATTCGTTGAACATCTTGTTTTATGATTCGTGCTCTAGGTATTCTAGAATTTAGAACCAACGGGAACAGCTCTATGTCATCTGACCTCCAACGATGGCGCAGGTTGCAGGGAGATGGCCGTTGGCCCTCCGCCGCCCAGCAGGGCGGAAAGCACCAGTCCCAAAAAGCCCGGCCCTGAATCCAGCAGACCGTCCTTGGAGGTTCATGAGTAGTTATAAGGGATTCCTTAAAGGGGTCCCTTTAAAGGGATCTATAGGGATTCTATAAGGGCATAGGGTTTACTTGGAGGTTCATGGGTAGTTATAAGTGTAATGATATGTCCCCTGATATGGGTTATAGTTATAATTGTAGTTACCTTACTTATAACCCCACTTATCTTTGTTGTTACCCATGAACCTCCAAGTAGTACTACTTGGTTTAATCAACGCCTACTTCAAGAACCGAACCGCTCCAAGGCTGAAAAAGGTGCGAAGCCGGACCTGGATGCTGGGCAAAGTCTCGGGCATCAGGGATTATATAGGGTTTAGGATTTAGCGGGTGGGGTTTAGGGTGTAGGGATGCATCATCTTTGTTCATTCCGGCTTTTCATTGCTACGAATATCCATAGTTTTGATTCCTTACGCTTAAACCGTAGCACATCATAGTGTAAGAGAGTTTCGAGTTTCAATGGGTGTTTTGGTGACGTGGTCATGGGGTGGGTTAGTATTAAGAGGCTCATTCAGGCTGTGGGGTTCAGGGCATCAGCCCTAAACTCCAAGCTTTGGGGTTCGAGGTTCGAGAGCAGCAATGTCTTTCGGTTGTACGGCACCGCCCTGGGTTTAGGGCTCAAGATGTAGGGTTTACGGTTTGGAGCTTATCTCGTATGCTGAACCGTAAGCAGGCTTGCAAGTGTGGCTACATCATGGTGTCCCGCTGCCGACCACATGCAACCGGAGAGACTTCTTTTATACATAGTGAAGTTCCCATATTTCATAACCCTAATCCATCCTAATCCCTAAACCCTAAACCCTAAACCCTAAACCCTAACCCCTAAACCCTAAACCCTAAACCCTTATAGTTTCTCATCAGCTCTCCACATGCCCATATTTGACCTTTGACTCCCCCGGCTGTTGTTAAGGGCCAGAGGAACGAAATCATGGTGCATTACGTCAAGACCTGAGATCTACTAGCAACCCCAAGCCCTAAACCCCAAGCCCGGGTTTAGAGTTCAGGGTACAGGGGGTTTCTAGGGAAAAGGGGATGCAAAATCTGCTGTTTTAAGGGTTCGACCCCATACTTTCCGATATCCACCGGAATCCTACAGGTGTGCGGCTGCGAGAAGACAAATCCATAAACACTCCCAAAGGCTCCATGTACCCATGTGGTAGGTACTTAGGCCTTAAAGGGGCCCCTATATAGGTACTTTGATGCCTATGTACCTGCTATATGGGTACGTGGAGCCTTTGGGACTAACCCTGGGCCCACGCAGTCCTCAAGAGTCCAAGCAGTCCGTGTTTCTGGCTTTTTGGGAGCCCAAAGCCCTATAACAGGGAGTACTTGCACCGTTTAGGGTTAGGGTTTAGAGTTTAGGGTTTAGAGTGTCAGGGTCTAAGGGTTTAGGGGTTTAGGGTTTTCGGCCTAGCAACTTATAGGGCTTAGACTCCTCCCAAATCTAAATCCCAGGAGCGGAGCTGCAAGCGATCGCAGCGGGAGCAAGGTGGGCACTTCCCGAAAGCATCTTCAGCTGCAATACATCCTTTAAAGGGATCCTTTAAGGGTTCCTATAAGGGATCTATAGGGTTTAGGTTCGTCATAAGGGTCGTTGTCAAAATTATGGCCTCTTTTTCGGTACCCTAAATATTAAGTGACCCTAAACCCTAAACCCTAAGCCGTATCATAATAGGGACCCGAGAAGGGACCATACTTTTGACAACCACCCATCTGAAGCTTGAGCCCCACCAGACCCTGGATCCTAAGCTTGAAGCACTAAGTCGGTTTAGGGTTTTGGTTTAGGGTTTAGGGTTTAAGTCACTGAACCTCGCTCTAAACCGTCCACCCCAAAGCATGGGTAGATGTCTAAGGTAGGGTCCCTTGTCAGTCCCAGCCATATATAGGACCTACATAAAGGACGCTAAGAAAGGGACCCTAATTCAGAGAAGTACTCGCATTGTATGAACATGACGCATGTATAATCACTCATACACCAGTGTACCAACCGTCAATGTGTAGAGAAACAGGTTCGAGAAGAAAAATCAACATGTTTCTTTGCCCGTGAGCCCGAAGTGAGGTCGCTGGCAAGTGGCAAGAGCAGGAAGTCCAAAAACAACGCGGGCAAAGGCAACACAGAGCACTGCATCCTCTTCCACGGCGTCTCTGCCCGACTTGGTGGGGGGGCTTCCCTTCAGGGCTTTGGGTTGGAGCGGAGACCGCAAAGCCTAAAGCCCAACTTACACCTGCTCTTGTGTGTGAGGTTTAGCGTTTAGGATTTAGAGACAGGGTATCCGGTTGGGTTGAGAACTCCTGCCTCTGCGTCCCAAATCCTGCTTTTAACAAGTCGTAAGCTCTTACATATTCAACCGCCATGTTTGGAGGACCATCGGACTTAGTAGTAAGTCACATTACAGGTTCTTTACCACGACTCCAGGGGCCTAGGCTCTCGGGCAAAGGCTGTAGGGTTCAAGGCTTTGGGTTTGGTGTTAAGATTGTTAAGGCTTGTGGGTTTAAAGTCTGCTGTTTTGGGTTTGGGGTTATGATTGTTTTGGGCATATATGCCCTAAACCCTCACCCTAAGCCGTATAAACCCTAAACCTTACAAAAACCTTAAAAACCCTAAAAACCCTAAACCCAAAAAACCCTACAAACCCTACAAACCCTAAACACACTAAACCCTAAGAGCCCTAAACCCTTCTGAGGCAAGTGGATCAAGGAGCACCTGGCCTGGATGGCCAAAGGCCCAGAAGCCATGAGTCTGGCAGAGCTGAGAGCCATCGCCCCTTGGCGGCTGCTGGGTTTCGGGGTTTAGGGTTTAGGGGTTTAGGGTTTAGGGGTTTAGGGGTTAGGGGTTTAGGGGTTTAGGGTTTAGGGGTTTAGGGTTTAGGGGTTAGGGGTTTAGGGGTTGAGGGGTTAGGGTTTAGGGTTTAGGGGTTTAGGGGTTAGGGGTTTAGGGTTTAGGGTTTACGGGTTTAGGGTTTAGGGGTTAGGGGTTTAGGGGTTTAGGGTTTAGGGGTTTAGGGGTTTAGGGGTTTAGGGGTTTAGGGGTTAGGGGTTTGGGGTCTAGGGTTTAGGTGTGAATCAAGGGATCTATAAAGGTTCCATAAGGGGGGCTCGAGAAGCGGACGCTTCACCTAAGCGGTTTAAAAGGTTTCTAGAAACGGGGATCGACGAGGGTTTAGGGAGTTTGGGGGCTTACCAAAAGCAGGCAGATTAAAGATGTTGTTTAGATGTTTAGCCATCAAGTTGCCGACTGTTGGGGTTTTGAATAAACCTTGAAGCGTCACCGAGCTATATGAACCAAAGCCCTTAAGCCCTGAACCCTAAGTTGAGTAAGACCGTTCCCTATATGATCATAAGATGTTTTTTGCTTGGCTTCAGGAGACATGAGGGATTGAGGCTTCGAGGCGTTGCCTCTGAGCCTTAGACTTAAGCCCTGGCCCCTAAACACTGTTTCGAAACGCTCGGACCGCCCCTACTAAGATAGAATCCTGAATAATTACCAGTACCAGGCTTCGATTTCTTCAAATAGTTTAATTTTACAGTATATCCCAGATTTCCCATTTTGACTCAGGCTCATGTACTGCACCCGCTACAGCCGCGGGTACCCTTCTCATGACTTGCAATCACCTGAAACCAACCATTTTACAGAACCCGATGTCACTATTTCAGGCCGCTGCTTCTGATGGGAAGCCAAAAAGGGGGTTTAAGATTCTTGGGGTAGGGATTCCTTAATATGAACCCGATTATGGGAACCCTAATCCCTACTAAACCCCATATCGTAAAACCCTTTTTGGCCTCCTATCACTTTTGTTACTTTTGCACCCCAGGCCATCCTCACAGCAGCTGGGAACTGGATGGAATGCAACTGCGTCTTCGCAGCAAAGAGAACGATACAGTGGATGGGTCATAGGAGGCCCAAAGGGGTTTTAACCTATGGGGGCTTAGTAGGGATTAATAGGGTTCATATTAAGGAATCTCTACCTCAAGAATCTTAAACCCCCCGTCTGGCCTCCCATCAATGGGGCTTTGGGCTTGCAGCGTGGAGTTCGGGGATTTGGGTTTTGGGCTGAATGCTTTTAGGCTGAATGCTTTACTGGATACTGATTAGTTAAATAGCAGTAGCATCCCCTTGATAGGCCACTTTTTGTTGAACTGGAGCCGAGGTTTTAGAATTGTTTATGGTTCTTGCCCAATGCAGGAATAGAATTACAGTATGAGTTGCACATGTTTGCCTCGACGGCTAATACCGCAACAAGACCGCAGTACTAGCAGAGCTTTCCGCACCCCAAGACCCGAAGCCTTAAACTTATAAACTGAAAACCCTCACACCCCTAAACCCCTAAGCCCTAAACCCTAAGCCCTAAACCCTTGAAACCCTGAACCCCCAAACCCCTAAACCCATAAACCTCTAAACCCCCCCTTAAACCCTAAACCCTAAGCCCTAAACCCTAAACCCATAGATTGCAAAACAAAAGCCCTTAAAACCCTTGAACCCCCAAACCCCTAAACCCTTGAAGCGTTGAACCCCCAAACCCCGAACCCCCTAAACCCTGAACCCTAAACCCTAAACCCATAGAGTAACAAAAAAGCCCTTGAAACCCCCAAGCCCAAACCCCTAAACGCGTAAAGCTCAAACCCTACACCCTTGAAACCCAAAACCCCCAACCCCTAAACCCCTAAACCATAAACCCTACACCCTACCAGCACGCCCCAATCGTCACTATAATAGACAGTCGACTCTATAACGATAGTCGTCGCTATAGGGTATGCTTCAACTAAGAAGGATGAATGCTTTCATTGCTCGTATAGAAACTGGAACAGGCAATAGATTGAAATGATGGATGTTTAGATCGGAACATGTCGAAATAAACAGTGTTGCTGAAGAAGAGGCCCCGCTTGACAAAGACATTGTGCGATTTGGATAGTTGAAAAAGAAGAAGACGAGAGATAGTCACATACATATATATCAAGAATCAGTCCGGCCATACAGTTTAGAATCTTTAGGCACCCCTTTCAAGTAGAAATCAAACATTGCGATTCTGGGCACGATGGCGGGATTAAGTGGTGTGCGGCTGCAATACAGGGTCCGGGAATTTCTTTGCTCAGGTTCGGAGCAGTTTAGCCATTGGCAAGATCGAGGGTTTCTACTTTTTTCAAGTAGAAATCAAATATTGTGATTCTGGGCACGATGGCGGGATTGTGGTGTGCGGCTGCAATACAGGGTCCGGGAATTTCTTTGCTCAGGTTCGGAGCAGTTTGCCATTGGCAAGATCGAGGGTTTCTATGTCATTATATTGGGGCTTTTATGGTTATATGGGGTTTACAATTAATATATACGGATATAGAAATATAATATCTGTTGTTACAAAGGTTGGGGATGGGATTTGTTAGGGGGGCTTAAGTGGTTATATGGGGTGTACCATATATACGGATATAGAATATCTGGTGTTATAAAGGCTCGGGATTGGATTTGGTGCTTGGTCATTTGCAAAGCATGTTTGCCTCGCATTTTGGGATCACAGGGTTTTGGTCGGAAATGCCGGGGCTGCCGGGGCATGTTTGCCAAGATTCGAGGGCAGATCGAGCTTCCTGATAGAGCCTTCTATTCATAGCTGGTAGCAGGGAACATATATGGCTTGGCAAGCCCCGGCTTTCCGGCTTAAAGCGAGGGTCATCTGCGACAACCTGTACGATCAGGTTGACCCAGGGCATCTGCTCAGGACGGGGCGAACCACCACGGTGCATCACTTCAGAACCCAGAAGAATCGTGCACAGTTTCGGTGGGTCCTTGCGGTGCATAATAATAGGTTCTTCACCGTGCGAGCTGTCAGAGAGGCCCTTCGCTTAATGTTTAAACAGCATACTCACCTGAAACTCCCTGAGGTTCCAGGCTTGAAATTTCATACCTGGTTGGACAACGAAGCCAAAACCTTGCAACGGCTGTTGTGCAAAGCTCGTCGCTCCATCGCCATGGACAACGATGAGACTCAGTTGCCCGAGGACCGTCGAGCATGTATCAGAAATTGATGTGGCCAGGACTCAAATCTAAAGTTGTGCATGCTCATATCAGTGCCACCGAACTTACCTCGAGGATGACGACTACGATGACGAGAAGATTACTGGCGATGGCGAGGCGGCTTTGTGGCTGCATTTTGGAAATGCATAGGAAGATTGGGCACCCGATGTCGACCAGGCTGCCATCGAAGAGGTGTTTTGAGCTTTAGGGTTATAGCATTCGAGCCCCGAGCCCCACGCCCCCTACAAGGATGCTGCTGATGAAGAGGATGATAAATGCATCGTTTTCCGGCTGCAATGGAATTGACAGTGGTCGGAACATGGGCTTGAGACCGAGTGTTTTGAGGCTGATGATGATCGCGACTTCGATGCTTTGGCCGACCCTCGGCTCGGTAGTGGCTCACACCTTAAGCTTGCTTAAATTCGAATCTCAGGTTGATCTTGATGACGTCTCAGTATGGACTGTTTTCCAGCTGCAATTAAATTGCTCGTGCAGTGCCTAAGAATATCAGTTCGAGACCGGGTGTTTTCAGGCTCTCAAAGGCGACTGCCATGCTTTGGCCGATGACCCTCGGCTCTATTCGGCTCGATAGTCGTTCACGCCAAGCTTGATTAAGATCGAATCTGAGGATGCTATGCCACCTTTGACGAGATTGCGGGCAAAGACGTGCCACTTCTGATTTCAATGGTTCTAGAATCCCCAACCCTAAACCCTAAGCTTACAGGTTTATGCTGTGGCTACCTGAGGACATTATCCACCGGCTCGGGACATTCGGAAGTGGAGGAACCTTGGATAATATATTCCGAAATGGTTGGAATAAAGTGGCACTCATGCAGGACGATGATGGATGGGGCGATGATTATGGCCCACATGCTGAAGACGAGGCTGAGCTCTGGGCATTCAGCATCAGGGGTTATAGGGGTTCAAGATTTGGGATTATGGCGGGATATAGTTCTGGAATGATCGTAGGATTCAGGGTTAGCTCAGGCTGATAAGGATTCAAGATTCGGTTGAGGCTTATAGTGTGCGATTCCATCTGTGCAGGACAATGCCGAGGATTGGGAAGAAGAACAAGTGGAGCAGGACCGGCTTCAGCTTTCCATGTGAATCTAGCATATGGCAGTGCTTCAGGCCTGGGATGAGGAATGGGAAGATCAAGCAAAGGCCGATAGCATCAGGGGTCAATAATTTGTATTTCATGTTCGCCCATTCGAACGTTGGTCACGGCAGGTCGAAGTTCCTTGGAAGGACAATGAAGAATGGCCTGAGGACTGGGCTCCTGCTACTTGCACTTGAAAACTGTCATGATTTGAGACGACAGGACGAAGCTGAAGACCAAGATGGACCATGGGACGAAGAATGGGCTGAGGACCAAGTGTTACTGTGTTCCTTTCGGTTGTTTTGGCTTTGCGACAGGATGGGCCCGATTCCGCAGTTGCCGAGCAAGACGACAATTGGGTCGAGGACTTTGCAATTCAGTTGTATGCATCTTTGGACTTTTGGGTCAGTGCCTATGACAGGACCTTGGAGAAGAAGAAGATCTTCAGGAAGATGAATGGGAGGAGGACTTCGTTGGTGTTTGCTTGTGAGTCAGGTTATATTAGTGTTTATGGCAGGACGAAGCCCAAGCCGAAGAGAAGGGTACGATCTTTGCAAAGGACCCATGCAAGTAAATTCCATGGGCCCATGCAGTCCGTGTTTCGCTGTAGGAGCCCACAGCGCCGAATGATGACTGGCCAGAGGCAGGTCGATGTTTATTGGTTCGTATCAGATCTGTATTCCAGATTCAGTCGCAACCCGACAGGACGACACGCAGACTCCTTCTGCTGAGGATCGACCCGCTTTGCCACTGATCTGAGTTTCTGGATGCACACCTAAGATTGCCGACAGGTCAAAGAAGGAAAGGACAAGCAAGGCGCCGACGAAATCGACGATGAGAAATGGTGGGCCGAGGACAATGCTAAATCCTGCCATGAACATACATATAGTGACGGCAACAGGAGTTGAAAAGAACAGGCCTCGACAACGACCCCGCTGATGAGGAGTGGTGGGATCAGGACCAATCATTGGAGAAACATTTCATGAGTAGAGCTGACATAGCCCATCCATTCGAAGCTGGATTTATATTTCGGCAGGATCCGGACTTTATCGAGGATGGGTGGCCCGAAGAAGGCTACGAAGATGAGGCTTGGCCATTACCGATCCCCACGCCGTTTGCTACTGCACATATTATAACTATAGATATTCTCGCTTGTAGGTCAAGCCCGTGATCAACCCGGAGCCCACATGGACCAAACAAATGTGGGCCGATATTGCGAGTGTCCCTCGGACGAAATGCTGAGGTCATCGAGTGCTACTTTTCTGGGGTTTACGGTGTGCAGCTTTTTTCTGCAGCAGGTTCCAGGTTGCCACAAACAATACCGGAAACAGTCCTGGCCCAGGTCTGGGATAGCCCTCCAGCTGGCTCCGGTGACAAGGAGGCCCGACTTGGAGTTTTGTCATGCTTCCACATCACCATTAATTTGCACACATATGACCCTAAAATTTGAACCTTCCTAAACTCCAGCGAACTCGAGCCTCCACGTGCCTTGAGTAGAATAAGTCGCACTGCAGGCTCCAGTTATAGTGATCGATAATGATAACACGGCGAATTGAAGAAACTAATGAAGAAGCTGACCCTACCTGACCCTAAAACCCGGTTGTTCCTAAAGGCCACTTTAAGTTTCTGAACGCCCAAATACTGTAGCCCTATAGTCGGCCCTTATCCCTGGGGCAGTGTTGCCTTCTGAATGTGTGATCGGCTCCGCTGAATCTCGCATCTTCTAATTGCTACTAGAGATCACCTATCAAG